CCACGGTCCTGGACGCACTCAAAAGTGCCCCGTTCGAACCCCTCCGAACTGTGCACCTTAAACAGCTCTCGTTTAAAACTGCTCTCTTGCTGGCTCTCGCCTCGGTCAAGAGAGTGGGCGACCTGCACGCGCTGTCATCAAGCGCTGCCTGCCTGGAGTTTGGACCTAACGACAGCAGGGTTGTCCTCAGGCCAAAACACGGGTATATTCCTAAGGTGCTCTCTACACCCTTCAGAGCACAGGTGATTTCTCTGGCCGCACTATCGTCTCCAGCAGACGAAAGCGACGCTAATTTACTCTGCCCGGTCAGGGCGCTCAGAGTATATTTGGAACGTTCTGCCCTGTTCAGACAGACAGAGCAATTGTTCGTATGCTTTGGCGGCCGCACCAAAGGTCTCGCTGTTTCAAAGCAGAGAATATCGCGCTGGATAGTTGATGCTATAGCGCTGGCTTATGAAGCCAAGGGCCTTCAGTGCCCCTTGGGCATCAGAGCTCCCTCTACGAGAGGCATGGCCTCCTCGTGGGCGTGGTCGAGTGGGATACCCATTCAAGATATTTGTGCGGCAGCAGGCTGGGCCTCACCGTCAACATTTATCAGGTTTTATAACCTGCAGGTCCCCTCATTGGACTCCAACATACTGTCGGTCTAACTATGCATAGGCTGGAGTGTGTACATGCTGAGCATTATCTCCTCCCTTATAGGGTCCGTATCTGACTGACTTATGGCGCTTTTCCACTACACAGTACCAGCTCGCCTCGGCTCGACTCGACTCGCCTTTGTTTGGTTTTCCACTGTGTAAAAGTTGTACCTGTACCTGCTTTCGGGTACTTTTTTTTGTACCACCTCCGGCGAGGTTCTAAGCGAGCTGAGGCGAGCTAAGCCGATACTAAAATGTGACGTGAAAACAATGCCGACTGCTGATTGGTCACAGAGAATCTGCGTCATCATTGCACGCGCCAGATGGAGTATCCAGAATTAACCCCGCCATTTTTAAATAGTTTGGCCAGAGATAGTTACTAAACTTACTACTATTATTATGGCAACTCGGAAGAATACGCCGTGGTCAAACGAGGAGGTGCAGACATTCCTTTGTTTGGTTGCCGAAGAAAGGATCCAGCGAGAGCTTGATGGGGCAACGAGGAACGAAAGGCGTCGCTATGACGACCGGGTACTATTTGTGGCGGTACTTTCTGCAATGGAAAACGGAGCGAAAAACGAGCCGAGTCGAGGCGAGCCAAGGCGAGTCGAGTCGAGCTGGTACTGGTAATGGAAAAGCGCCATTAGAGGGTTTTTCATGCATATCAGTACATAAAAATGTGCTTGTGTGCTTTCTCTGGACGCCCATTGGGCCGTTCCACATTGTCCCTTATATAGCCCGCCTTTGCCCGGCTCGTTGGATAATTACTTTCCTTTAAGGCTCAGGCATCTGCCTCCGGCTTAATAGAGCAAAGTCAGCACGCACGGCGTTTTACATGGTGTTCCCATAGCATAAGCTACTTACGCAATAGGAGGAACCTCTCGAAAGGGAACGTCTCGGTTACTAACGTAACCTCGGTTCCCTGAGAGGAGGGAACGAGTATTGCGTAATCTGCCGTGCTTGTGCTTGGTCAGTTCGCTTCAGTCGATTGAACCTAAAGAACTCAGACGACGGGGCGCCCAATATATAGCCCTTGGCCACACTCATCTGGGCGGGCTCTGACACGCACGGGTGCGAAGCACGCTCATTGGAAGCGGGTTCAGAGTCGCCCCGTCATAGGTTCGTGCAGTTGCCGCAGCACAGCCAATGACCGAGCTGCCTCGCTCACTGCTGTATGCTGTGCAGCTGCAATGTGTTTTACATAAAGACTTCAATATTTCTCGAGAAAAGGAGTTTTCCCATAGCGTAAGCTACTTACGCAATACTCGTTCCCTCCTCTCAGGGAACCGAGGTTACGTTAGTAACCGAAGTCGTTTTTACGTGCATAGGATACGCATGGGTTGGTTAGGGTAGGTTTAGTAGTGGTGTGGGGTGCGTGTGTATTATACATTTGGGTAGAATTAGTGGTGTGGGGTGCGTGTGTATTACACGCAAATGAGCTGCGTGTGTATTACACGCAAATGAGCTGCGTATCAAATGCACGCAAAAACTGCGTATCATATGCACGTAAAAACTCATTTTCGCGTATAAATCGCACGATAAAACACAATGCGTGCTATAGAGACGCATTTACTTGAGAACAGGCTGATGCAAGACAAGCATTAATCTCCACCTTACGTTTTTTTGCGGAAGATATTCGATTCATTTTCTTTCCGCTGCTGCTTTAATGAACATCTAATGAGTGATTATAATCAAGATATTACACAATATTTTTCCTTCTAGATATCACACGAGTTGAATGACTTCTCTAGGCTTGTGAGATTTTAAGTAAAGTCTTTACTTTCCCTGTTAGATTTAAGCGTCCTTTCCTTGAGAGAAAGAACATGTTATCTTGATGTTTTGGGAAGAGTCTCTTGTTTATCGTTCGAGCCTGGCCAAATCCAACCTTGAAGAAGTAGCGTGTCAGTGTGTGTGTTAGTCTTCTTGGTTACAGGTTAAGGAACCACTGGCATTATTGGAGATTGCATGACTTGTTTTCTTCGACATGTTGGCGACTAGAAACGCAGATCCTGGAAGGTCACGACGTGCCTAACTTCTATGGAAGCTTATGTGTAGCAATATTCAATTTGAAATGTAATATGCAAAATGATAATGAAATATGTAAAATGGCAATGCATTTCTGTATTTAATTTACATTTTCCATTACATTTGTGCAACGTTTGGTGTAAAATGAAAATGATAATTCAATTATAAAATTTACATTTTTGCCATTCCATACATATGTTTTAATATGTAAATTGAATACATATTTTAACGCTTTATAAGTTGCACGCCCCTGTGTGGTGAAGGGTAGAACTGCTGTGTGTGTGTGTGTGGGGTGAAGGGTAGAACTGCTGTGTGTGTGTGGGGTGAAGGGTAGAACTGCTCTGTGTGTGTGTGTGTGTGTGTGTGTGTGGTGAAGGGTAGAACTGCTGTGTGTGTGTGTGGTGAAGGTTAGAACTGCCGTGTGTGTGTGTGTGTGGTGAAGGGTAGAACTGCTGTGTGTGTGTGGGGTGAAGGGTAGAACTGCTGTGTGTGTGTGGGGTGAAGGGTAGAACTGCTGTGTGTGTGTGTGGTGAAGGGTAGAACTGCTGTGTGTGTGTGGGGTGAAGGGTAGAACTGCTGTGTGTGTGTGGGGTGAAGGGTAGAACTGCTGTGTGTGTGTGGGGTGAAGGGTAGAACTGCTGTGTGTGTGTGTGGTGAAGGTTAGAACTGCCGTGTGTGTGTGTGTGGTGAAGGGTAGAACTGCTGTGATCTCTGTAACTGTAACAGAACGGCCTACAAACTCCTTGTGAGTCTTGAACAAGGGTAAAACAAAACCCTTTTCACCTCAACAACAGCTCTGTTCACAGCGACCCGTTGCAGTGCATGTCTCTTTAAATGATAATGAGTTATTACGGGACAGTCCGTCAGTGGTTGTGGGCGGAGCATGAGCAATATGACATCATATTGCTCAGAAAATCCAAACGGCCTGATTATTGAGTGTGTTTAGGCTTTTTGAGGATTAATAAAAAGGATTGAATGGATTTTCTTCATTGTATGGTGGTTGTGTCCACACACTGCAAAGACACATTTATATGCAAACACCATATAAAAGTGAATTTTGCATCCGATGATATTTAACTGTAAGGTAAATAACTAACTATTCACCAGTAAAACTACTTCCACTACAAACCAGTGCGTTTTATGATTATAATAAAATAATATGATAACAAACCAGTTAGCAATATCAAGCAGCATGTTTTCTTCAGCTAAAACAACGAAAAGCGGATGATACCGGAATTCGTGCACATTCATGATTCAACCCAAAAATGTCAAGTATAACTGAAAAATGCAATTAGTGAAGTTATTATATGAAAACATTCGCCACACATGCTACTTTTGTCATTACATGCATTTATTTGAGAGGGAAAAGCCATACACATCTCTTTGTGTTTACCAGTACAGTTTGATTAATTTAACAGGTAATTTTAAAAATTACTAAAAATGAAGCATTACAAACATTGGGTTGGGCGCACAGAAGTGAAGATTTCAAGGTCAAAGACAATCTGGATGTAGAGGCGAAGCGTCTCTGAAGCGTGGCAGATCGAGCTCTGCTTTCACAGTCAGAGTCAACATCCACCAGGCGACACAGAGAACGAGAGAGAAACCGGAAAGCACCGACCACAGAGCCTGGAATGGCGGCAAGTACTACATTTATCGGGTCAAGCCTCGCTTCGATGTCACAAGCTTCTCATTTGTCCTCATCTTCTGAGGTGACGTTTAGTCTCTAGTGTCTCCAGCGGCAGGAGCTTCACACAAGTTTAGTGTTTTCTTCATGAAGTCTTGTGGTCCGGCACTCCTACTGCCTCTTTGTAAATGGCGGCTTTCATACCCAAACACACTCTTGATTTACATAATATACTCTCGCAGAGCTCCACCCCCATTTATATAAATCAACAGAGCCCCGCCCCTTTCCCAAACCCCAACCAATCAAAATAGGAAAAACTTTAAACTTAATATTTGCTCTTTATAGAATCTGAAAATATACACCAAAAGAGGGGGAAATCCCACAATAACAGATAAAAAAAGAAAGAAAAGAAGAACAAAGAGGGGGAACAGGGAGGGAGAAGAAAAAAAGAGAGAGAAAAAAAAAATTCACACAACAGACTCGGGTTGTTTAAAATAAATACAAACTGATTCAGCCGAGCAGCCAGAATAAAGAGCTGAGAAAAGGTTTAAAGGCAAGTCCTGTCTTCGGATGAGTACGTATGGTGACACACAGGGTTACCACCAGTGGAAGACAGAATGAGTTTATGTGTTTTTGTGTGTGTGTGTGTGTGTGTGTGTGTGAGAGAGAAAGAGAGAGTGAAAATTGTACAATTCATTCGCCTGTTTCTTCCGAATCTTCTGGATCTCTCAGATGATTCGCTAAAGCTCAACAGTTATCCAGCCGAGACAGAAGCCGGTTGTTCCACATATTCACGCCGGTTCAGGCTTCAGATGTGCTGGTTGATGGTGAGATCAGAAGTGACCGATTCCTGAGCAGGAACAAGCGGAAAGCGGATGTGTGTGTCGCTTTGGTACGAGTCTTTTTTTTTTAGTGTGTTAAGGAGACAATAATAATGACAAACGCACACATACACTCGAGTGCAACGAAGCGCTCGCTAAACAACTTCCACCAGCCGGACAAGATCTGAAAGCCAAAACCAATGAACTGTCTTTGCTCAAAGTGTTCCAGCTGGTCAGTCTTTCTAATGCAGTACAACCTCCAGTCCACGAGGGGGCGACGGCGAGCAGTGACGCGCCACGATCAACGGCATGAAGTGGTTGAACAGAAGAAGATCGCCGTTAGCGAGAAGCGTTTCTCCGCATGTGTGTCTTTGGTAACTGAACACCATCGCTGGACGAACACACTTTACGGCAACTCACCAATCACAGATGAGGTTTTCGTAATTTGAATACAATGCCAATTTTCACAAAAGGTCGGCCATTTGAGGGAAGGCGAGTTCCCTGTGTTGTTTTGAAAATTTATGGAAAAGACACGAGAAAGACGGAAAGAGTCCAGAGGAATGTGAGCAAATGCCATGAGGCAAGAACAAACCACCTCTCTTGATTCTCACTACACGTGTGGACCCTGAGAAGAGACAAATACGGGTTAACTTGACCAGACCAGAAGTTATTATTCCAGCAATTCCTTCATAAACATGGGAATTTCCTTGCGTTACCTAGGTTACAGCATTATGGTGCATCTCTGCTGGTGTCCAGACTGGCATCAAGGAGAAGCTCCTCTAAATCCTGCCCGCAGCTCAGCTCTGCAGTCACGCTCACTAACACACACACACACACACACATTATAAAACGGTTAGTTCCAGTCCTTGATTCTGATTGGTCAATAGCTGTGTTTTATTCATGATAGACCAACGCTACTTTTGCGTCATCGAAGGGTAACGGCCCTTTTTGGGGGAAAACAAACGGATTCCCCTGAGAACAGAACTCGCTCTAGATCTGCTAAGTTTCTTGATAGCAAAAATGGCACAAACTTAAAGAAGCTACTGGACACGGGGTTACAGAGGTGTCCCTTTGAAATGGTCGAAAACTGGATTAATGACCCCACGCACTGGCCAAATATGGACTATTCAGACATCTAACGTTACCACTATCTCGTGGAATCACCAAGTAAAGCCTAGTTCACACTACATGATTTTAAAACATCGGGCTGAACTGTGTGGTTCACACTACATGACTTGCTCTCTGTGAAATCAGGAGTGTTGAAGTTGTTGAGCTGTTCACACCACACGACACAACGTGATTGATCCGCAACAGGAGGTAACGCTCTACACGAGTTGACAACAACTCTGTCACCCAACGATTCTATCTTGTCTACAAACCACGTTTTGTCACGAAAAATCACGCGATAAAACGAACCGGAAATGACGCGAAACAGCACGCGCGCCAATACCCAGCGAAGAAGAACACAACACGCGAACATGCCTTGCTCTGATTGGCTGTAGCTCATGACATCACGTGAGCTTCAGTCGTGCGACAGCTCTGGATATCTAGCATGCTAGATATTTTTCTGGGCTCGGCGACGCGTCTGCGAGCGTCTTTAAAGCGTTGTTAGCTCTTTCATACTAACAGATTGGCGAGCGTTCATCGCCCGCTAATCCCCCGCGATTTGCACGCGATAACACCCTGACCTGTCGCGAGCTCAACGATTTGCAAATCGGGCTTAAAATCATGTAGTGTGAACTAGGCTTAAGTAGCCCAAAATTTTTTTTGTGTCATTAACACTCACAGTATGACAAACTAGGCGATGAGGCCATGTCACTTGGATCATATTTAACTTGATTTAAGCTATTGACAGTTTTGTTGTCGACTAGCTATACTATACTGTTGAAATAGTGGCAGGCTAGGACTAAAGTGGACTTGGCTGGTTTCTGCTTGTGTCTAGAAAGTGCTAGGACTTTAAAAGTTGTAAAAAGGTTTACAGTGTACGGCAAAATATGTATAGGACCAATGTATTTATGTACGGGGCTATCAAATTGGATGTTGTGACATTACGCTATCCTATCTAGCCTAGAAGACTTGATCTACTGCCGTTCGTGTTGTTGCATGTAGCCCACCAGAGCAGTGCTCGTCGAAAAGTCATATAAGTTAGGCCTAAAGCACTTTCTAGACACAAGCAGAAACCAGCCAAGTCCACTTTAGTCCTAGCCTGCCACTACTTCAACAGTAATATCAGTTAACAGCCAAGGTAGCGTGCCTAGTGAGAGCTAATCACGTAAGCTGCTAGCAGCTTCGTCTTTCTAACTAGTATAGCTAGTCGACAACAAAACTATGTCAATAGCTTAAATCAAGTTAAATATGATCCGAGTGACATGGCCTCATCGTCTAGTTTGTCATACTGTGTGTTAATGACAAAAAAAATAGGCTACTTACTTGGTGATTCCATGAGATAGTGGTAGATGTCTGAATAGTCCATATTTGGCCAGTGCGTGGGGTCATTAATCCAGTTTTCGACCATTTCAAAGGGACACCTCTGTAACCCCGTGTCCAGTAGCTTCTTTAAGTTTGTGCCATTTTTGCTATCAAGAAACTTAGCAGATCTAGAGCGAATTCTGTTTGTTTCCCCCCAAAAGGGGGCGTTACCCTTCGATGACGCAAAAGTAGCGTTGGTCTATAAAACACGACCGCTTCACCCAACGGTTCTATGTATCACTACACCACACCCCTAGCAACCACTCCTAGCAACGTAAACATATGTTTGTTCTCATTGATATTGTTCATTGAAGCTTCTCCAACTTATTCCTGACGACCTTACTGCGTTTTGAATTATGGGCGGCACTTCCGGTTTGGGGAACTTCCATTCAAAAAGGCTGAAACTAATCATTTTAAATCATAAGGTTGCCCTACAAATAAAGCTGATCCGTCAGTTTGACTGGATGAGCTGTCGATTTTCCTTCATGATTTATTTTCAGACATCACGAGAATAACGTTATACTTGACATGTTATAACAAGAATATCTACGGCATGAGCTCTTTTCAGTCGCTGTATCTTTTCCTCGTGATGATTTTTATTTTTTTTTCCTTTGCAATCCGCTGTAAAAGTATGAAAAAGGACAACATATACGGCACATTTGTGGTCTGTTCTCCCGAATTTAATACACGATATTCCATTAATAATTCACTGGAACGCACGAAGAATCTCTCGTTATTCTCAATAATCCTCACGTCTCTTTCCAGGTTTGTTTTCACAGGTAAATGCAATTTATAATCTGTCAAAATGACGGAAATCACTTTGAAATAGTGTCACGTAATGCTGAAGTTAATGAACGTTTTTTGATTAAGGCTTGGTATACAATACAGAGATATATTTGACTACTACAGTGATATTTAACCAAAGACTCGCGCTTATGGGGCTATTTTTGGTCTGTTTAAAGTACCTCGTTGATTCTTTTAAACTTTTAAATTTAATTTTAATGTTCGATGGTTGAAGGGTGAGTCGATTAATGTCATCTCATTGTGACACTTTTTTAACGTATTGCGTTCATAGAGCGAGCCTTTCACTGATTGTTTAGTTACACCCATAATTCGCGCAAAGCGTCATGGGGCGCAGGAATACGGTGGATAGAGTCGAGTATTGTGAGAGATCGAGTAACCGAGTGTAACTGCATTTACAGTAGATGTAGCATTTTCCTTCAGGTCAGTCCTATTCATAATACAAATCCACTTGAATGTCCGAAAGGATATCTTGTCCTTTTAACAGTAACAGGGTTTTCCCGTGTCCTGACACGCTAGTCATTTGTCAGTTGCTTCTTCGTGTTCACAAGTTTCAGTCCTTTCAATATAAAAGTCTTCTCTACTGACTCACTCACAGTCTTTACCGCCGTCTAATGGCGAAATAATCACGAATCACGGTCAGGGACTATTTTTTCTAGCGGAAGGAAGGCTTATAGTGATTTCACTTCATGAAAGTTGCATTGATACATATTTTTTGGCTTTAAAGCTCCAGTCCGTAACTTTTTTTAAGTTAAAAATAATCCAAAATAATTATATAAAAAAAAACTTATTCTGCCAGTGGTCAAAACTATCTGCTTGCCATAGCTAGATTCAAAACGGTTAGCTTGTAATAATGATTTTAATTCCAGTGGTACTGGTGGGTTTCCGCGGGAAATTCGAGCATGTCTTTGCGTCATGACGTCACACCCGTACACATAAAGAAGGAGTTTCGGCTAGCCGGCTATACTGCGCGTGACGAGAGGTTTAGATGTATAGGCTTTTCTCGCAGCACTTTACATGATTAAAGGAGAACTCCGGCGCAAAATGAACCTTTGGTCTAATTACACATTGTTACCAAGTCAACCGTTATCTGAGATTTGTTTTCATGATTATCGAATGTAAATAGTTTTATCTCTAAAAACAGTTTAGCCTATAAAGCTAGTATAACGCTAGTATATTGGGCATAGTGTAATGACAAATAAAAATCGCTTGTTAATACCACTAACAAGGCTCAAAATAGCCCCACACTAACACGGTAGCATAATGAGGGTCCCTACCTTCAAACCGAAGCATTGAGAACTTTGTAAGTGTACAGACAGTTTAATAAGAAGATATTTTATACATACAGTCAACTTTGCGTATACAGGCAGAAGCCATCTTTGAAAAACAGTCTCTACCAGTCGATCTACGAACGCCGATCCAAGCCTACTGTTCGCGCTCACCTTATCACGACTTATAGCTCGTTCACATCTCACCAGCGCACTTGGATCGGCGTTCGTAGATCGACTGGTAGAGACTGTATTTCAAAGATGGCTTCTGCCTGTATACGCGAAGTTGACTGTATGTTTAAAATATCTTCTTATTAAACTGTCTGGACACTGACAAAGTTCTCAATGCTTCGGTTTGAAGGGACCCTCATTATGCTACCGTGTTAGTGTGGGGCTATTTTGAGCCTTGTTAGTGGTATTAACAAGCGATTTTTATTTGTCATTGATCTATGCCCAATATACTAGCGTTATACTAGCTTTATAGGCTAAACTGTTTTTAGAGATAAAACTATTTACATTCGATAATCATGAAAACAAATCTCAGATAACAGTTGACTAGGTAACAATGTGTAATTAGACCAAAGGTTCATTTTGCGCCGGAGTTCTCCTTTAAACTTATGGCATCCAGAAAGATCCAAACAACAATCATCAGTGTCAACTGGAGATTCAGCAGTTATAAAACCCAAAAGACTTCGTACTTCGGATTTAAGGTGGCTAGAGAAAGAGAAAGAAACCGTCTCATGCGAACACAAGGATTTAAACATCGGCGGGGCTTTTGAAAAGTGCCTGAACTCCGTGTTTTGAAGGGGTTCAAAATGGAAGAAGAGACGGCTTTTTTCTGCTGAACAAGTAAGACATTTCAATAGTTCAATCGTGTAACAGCACGTTTTCTTAATTCACACAGTTATGGAGTTTCCTTTGTTGTGCCTTTCTCGTTTTGCTATTATGGAGAATATGAATTCTGAACCACAGGTAGCTGCTAACCATAAAACACATTAAATTTAACATTAGTCGCGCAATGCTGATGTTGTTAACATGAACAATTTGAGAACAAAGTAGGCTATAATTTGCACGGTTGCTGTAAATCACGTTGATTAAATCTAACGAAGCTTATCATGTCGAATGCTTTTCCCCCTTAGTTGGTCAGAACAAAAATGGATGTTACTTACTTGTTCAGAAGACATTTTCTTATGAAAATTCTTATGTTGGTCAAACTTTCAAAAAGTGAATCTGTGATTATGACAGTATCCACACAGCGCGGTGACTGACAGCAGCACTCG